TCAGACGAGCACCAGAGCCGGAGGGAGAAGCCAGCCTGGAGCGGCTCAGGTGAGGCAGGCGGGAGGGGATGCCTGAACTCGAGACCGAGCAGGGGTTAGTCAGTCGGGAAGGGAGAGAAAGAGAGAGCTCTGTACACGCCCAGAGACACGATCGGCATTAGATCTCGGCCTACCGAGGGGACTAGCTAAGAGGTAACGTTTGTCATAAAAAGTGAAGGAGGCTTGGAAGTTACTTGAACGAGGCTGTGATTCTAAACGTAGCAATGCCATTCGTCCTATACTGAAGTTTTCTTGATGTGTGGGTCTAAAGTTCCTTCCAAGAGAATATGGAAACTAAGCTAGTTGGAGAGCCCCAGACTGGGTTCCTCATCTCTGACAATGCTTCCTTTGTGGAGAGAGGCTCTGTTAACTGTCTACCTCAGAGGTCTCCAAACTTGGCAACTTTAAGACTTGTGGACTTCAACTCTCAGAATTCTCCAGCCAGCATACCACCGAATTGGTGGTAAAAATATTTGAAATGCACCACTGCTGTGCTTGCATTCATTTAACAACTGCTCGATGTTACCATGGGGCTGAAAAAAAACTCACTTACAACCAGTTTTTGCACTTAGGCCATCGCAGTGTCCTCATGGTCATGTGATAAAAATTGGGGCACTTGCCAACCAGCATACACATTTACGACGGTTGCAGTGGGAACCGTTTGTGACTTTCCCAGTGGACCTCCAACAAGCAAAACCAATGGGGGAAGTCTGGGTTTGCTTAATGACTGTGAGATTTGCTTAATGACTGCAAGCAAAAAAGATCATAAAAGTGGATGTGACTCACTTAACAACTGCTTCACTTAGCAATAAAAGTCCCAATCCCAATTGTGGTTGTAGATTGAGAACTACCTATACCAGGAGTCCCCAACCACCCATCTGCGGCCCACTATTGGGCTATGGCCCCGTTTCAAAACCAGGCCGTGCAAGTGGCAGGCAAGAGCGCATGTGTAGGTTCACTTGCACGAGTGGCATGTGTGTGTGTGTGTGTGTGCGCAAAGCTCCATTTGAGTAAGCAGTGGGTGCTCGCACACTCAGCTCCATTTGCACAATGGAGCGTGTGCAAATGGAGCAGTGCACGCTTGTGCACGGGCTTGCCACTCACACAGAATCATCCTCTTCCCCTCCCGCCATTCCCATCCACCAAGCCAGAAAGGTTGTGACCGCTGCGACCTCATACTTTATACAGTTTTGTAAACAGGAACTGGTTCCTGAGATATTCCCCCCAAGATACACCGTTGAAAAATTCATTCAGTCGGAAGATGTACTCAAAAGAAGTCTGGTTCTTCATAAATAAAGTTACGTGTCAGCCCCACTGGATAGCCCAGACCATAAAACCAGCTCCACAGGAAAGCTAAAACTTCCTTTATTGACTTTAACTCTTAATACCAAAATCTTGCAAGTTTAATTGTGCTATATTTCCTCCCCCTCCCCCTTTTAGTTCAGTAAATTAGGAGGCATCCATCTGAGCTTATTCCAAATGTTGTCTGGCTGCCCTGGGTTTTAAAAAAGATCAGCCCTTTTGCCTCCTACAAGGTAATCTTCCTTACTCTCTACACTACCTCTACGTGAATTCTGGACCCAAGAAAGGGCTTTGTGGCTAAATCCTGATTAAAATGAAGGCGTTCATTGGTGGGCAGAAGGTATAAGGATCTGGATTATGAGGTTAAGCATCAGTGCTGAAATCACCTGCTGTATCTGTCTGACTAGACCAGTGGCTATGAAAACCGTTGTGTGGGCTAGCAAATAAGGTTCAGTTAGAAAAGAAGCTGGACAACCAGTGAAAATAGGACCGTTTATTAGAGCAGGGATGTCAAACTCGTGATGACACATTGTGGTCACTTGTCGTATTGTAACTTTTTCCCCCTTTGCTAAACCGGGGGTGGGCATGGCCAGCAGTGATGCATCCGGCCCACTGGCCGCAAGTTTGACACCCCTGGTTTAGGGGCAGAGCAGGTTCTGACCAGTTCTGGAGAATCGGTTGGCCCCGCCCCCATCTATTCTCTGCCTCCCGAGTCCCAGCTGATTGGCTGGGTCTTCTTTTGTTGCCCTGCACAGGAGAACGGAGCTGGAAAGCAGGTTAGTGGGATGGGGAGGGAATGGGATTTTGCAGTAATCTTCCCCCAGGATTGGGGTGGGAATGGAGATTTTACATTATCCTTCCCCTGCCATGCCCACCAAGCCATGCCCACCAAGCCATATCATACCCACCAAGCCACAGGCACAGAACTGGTAGTAAATTTGTTTGAATCCCACCACTGTTTAGGGATGCAAGAGAGGTTGTGTTACACAAACAGCTCCATGTTCCTACTCGTTGCCAGTCTTCTCCACTGTTCAGCATCAGTTTCACACTGTAGTTGGTTCCCAGACTGATAAGAATTTAGGAGACCATTATATAAACAACCAGCTGCCAGATTTCCTGTTACCAGTGAAGACACCAGCTGTAAAAAAGCTGTTTGAAAGAAAATCAGAAAGTCTCCAGCCTGTAACCACATGGGGACATATTGGCTGTAAAGTCAGTTGCTGTAATTCTTGCAGCTGCATCCAAAAGAAACTGGAGAAATTGTGCTTGAAAAAGATGTGGCCCTTGGCTTTGAGGCAGTTGCCAAAGAACTTGACAATCTGCCACCTGCAGCAGCTCATCTACCAGTGCGACAGATCCTGTAGATGTGTCCACAGGACATGAGGCTTTTGTTGAAATGACAAAACTAGCAACATGCCAATGCGATGCAGACTTCCTTTCTTCTGTGTATGCTTGCAACATTACTTATGCTTGCAAAGAGCTGTGGTGGCACAGTGGTTAGAATGCAGTACTGCAGGCTACTTTTGCTGGCTGCCTGCAATTTGGCAGTTCGAATCTCACCAGGCTCCAGGTTGACTCAGCCTTCCATCCTTCCGAGGTGGGTAAAATGAGGGCCCAGATTGTTGGGGGCAATAGGCTGACTCTGTAAACCGCTCAGAGAGGGCTGTAAAGTGGTATTTAAGCGGTATATAAGTCTAAGTGCTATTGCTATTATGGTACAGGTGAAAAAGGACTGGACCTTGTATCATAACGGTGCAATGTTAGCTTTGTCCTTTGTCAAACCCTTGACCCCTTTTCCCACTCTTTTAGCCTCTGGCCCCAATCTCTGGAGCAACCCTCCTAATTTGCAGAAAGCATCTGCTTAGAATGTATTTCCCAGCCTGTTTCTTTGGCATTACTACTTCATGTCTTAACAAGAACATATAGTTTAATTCTTGCTTCTCTGCTGTCTTGGAGGAACAAAGAACTTCTCTCCCGCCCTGTCTAAAATTCTGGTCCTTGTGGGGCTACTTGTCATCCAAGCAGCAGTCAGTCTTGACAGGCCTTGATTTATGGTTTCTGGGGGCAGCCTCTGGTCTTAAGCCCGGAGAGAAATTAATGAGGTGAGTGGGTTGTCTGCATCTGTGCGTCTTTCCTTTTTTCCCCTCCCCATTGCACAGAACAAATGAGAGGGGTATCTCTTCAGTTAGGGCACATTTTGCAGTGTGTTTCCCCATGATGCTTACGTCTTTATTTCCTGCTGCTTCAGAATATTCTATAGAAAATGGAATTTCCTCCTTGGGGAAATTAGGGTGGGAGGAAGAGACCCAGAGTTACTTATGGCTCTAGAGTCAAGACTAAAGCTGTTAAAAAGCTGTTTTGAAGGAGACTTGAGAGCCCTGATTTGGACTCACGAAGCAGCTTTTAAATCTGATATTATCTGGCCAGTTTATAGCATTATGTTTTCTCTGCCAAGTGTCATGAATGTTCTAATTTGGAACTGATGTGCAGAGAAGGGAACTCAATGTTTACTTTTTATAAACACATTTTATCTCTTTCTCAGCCTTACAAGAACTTACCAAATTGGACATTCTCCCCAATTAAAATTGGATCAATTTGACTCCTTGAAATGTTGACTGTACAGGCTAAATATCACACCTTTAAATTCCTTTCATGATTGCTTTGAAATCTTCTGCCGACTTCCGTTAAATATGATTCCTCATAGGTTCTGAAGAGGAATAATACCACATTCCTTTTACTGTGACTTTGCTGTTTTCTGTTGCGCAATCACGGTCTAAATAGCTGAATTTCCTCCTGCCCCTGATTAAACTTGCTACTGCGCCCACATAATGCAATTTTTAAATTTGTATTTCTGTCAAGATGCATATATAGCCTTTCACCTCTGCTTCCAAGACACGTTGCAAAATATTACAACAGAAATTTTGTATTATCCACACACATGCACAAATATTGTTCTTGTGCCATATCTGTCATCGGACGTTGGCGATCATGTTGGCGATCCTATTTTTATCAACAGTCGCACAAAAAAGTGCTGCTGAGTTTTGACCAAGCCGGTCCCTTAGATTTTGAAGCCATGATGTTCTTCTTCTGTCTGGACCTCATTTGCCTTCAATCTTTCCCTGGAGGATTAAGTGAAGTATGCCGTATTTTTCTGGGTGTCACATCACATGTTTGAAATATTCTAACTTTTGCTTTTTAATGGTTTTAATGATTTCCCTTTGCTTTCCCATGCACAAATATAAAAAAATAATCAGCCAAATCCATTGCAGGATGAGGATTTCTTTATGGAAAGATCTTACTAAGCTAGTCCAATGCAGTTGGCATAATAGATCTTTTTTGACTTTTCAATCCAAGGTCCAAAGTCACCTAGTCAGCTTCTGTGTCTAAGGGAGGATTAGAATTTGAGTCTCCCTGTCAGGCTCAGCAATACTTTTAACTATTACTTTTACGTTGTCTCTTGCAAATGGTGTGCACAATTCCAAAAAAACCCACTTTGGTTTTCTACAAGGATCTTTTCCTCCCCGTTACAACTGAAGCTATGGAAGTCTGCTAATTACCGGTCAGGAAAATGGCTTCCTTGCACTGTTTATAGTTTCCCATAATGATACAAATCTGCTAGTGGTCACCCATTGTTATAAGGGCATTTCTCAACATCATTACAATTGTATCCATGGTGATCTTGTCACAGCAATTTCCTGAAATGCTGATGAATAGGTATAACTAGTTTCCCTGGCAGAAGGTAGTCTCATTAGTTGTTTTCACATGGTAAAGGTTAAGGAAATCCTCTAGTTTATACATTTGTTGTTGCACAACAATCTGGGTGATCATCAGGGTTAACATTAACTCAAAGACACACATACCCATCGAGCCACACCTCCATACACAAACATATCTTTTGACAAACTATATGAGCATAGCAATTGTCTGGCCTTGTATGATCTATTTGTCCCGTCTGTTCATCCATCCATCCATCCATCCACTGGCCAGTAAGCCATCCATTTTGTCTCTTGTAACATGCCAGGAAGGAAAACAAAATTGGAATGGAAACATAATTGTGTGCGTTATTTGCCTCTGGTCTCCTCCCATTGCCCAGGGATATTGACAATGTGGTAAAAAGCCTTGCCAATTTTATTTTAAAACCGATAGGAATAAACACTCATTCCTCTTCCCATTTCAGGATTGATGAAAATGGCTTTCCCCAGCTCCGCCCATATAGTATTTTTCGGGCCCTTGCATTTTGTTATTGTTTCCAGATCTTTTAGAAGTATTCAGTGGTGGTTTTTATAGTTTTCATTGTGTTTCTAAAAAAAATAAATCCTCTGAAAAAATATGGAACAAATGTTCACTCCCTTCCCAAACTTTCCATTTTTGCAACAGTAAAAAAATCACCTTATTTCCACACAAGAGAATTAAAAGAAAGTGCATATGGGGAAATCACCTGTAATTTGGCACTTTCTGCCACGCTAAAGCATAAATATAAACAATTAAGTGTTCCTCCCCCCCCTCTTTATTAATCTCTTTCAGATATCTTCCTTTTTCAGGCTTATCCTTTATTTTTTCCAAGAAAAATATAGTCACAGTACATATTACAGATATTGCATTAACAGGTCTTCTGTTGTGGGGGTGTCTCTGTTGATTATCTGGTCTTTGGAGAAATAATAGGGCTGGAAAAGGAAGTTCCCTCCCTTTTGCTCTGCTCACCCTGGAATGAATTTGTTTTAGGAATCAAAAGCTGATAAGGAAAGAAAGGGAGTGCTGGGAAAAACAGAGCTGATGGAGACAAAGAATTTAGAATGAAGAAGTTTCTCTGGCAGATACAATAACTGCAAGACAAATCTTGCAACTCAGAATTGAAACTGGCTTCTCCGCAGGCATAAACAGTGTTTGAAGTGGGAAGGCATGCAGCTACAAAGGGATACTCTTTGAGCCGGGCCCAGTATTTAAAAGAGGGAGCTAACTATACTTTCTAAAACTGACCAAGAATATTCAGAATCCGAAGTATGTAAAGACTTTGCATACATTTCACAACCTTTACGTAAAAAGGCTGTGGGTTTTGTTACAAGGAAATAATGAAAGAATGCCAGGGGTTGGTTTGTTTGTTTTTCATATAAAGTGTCTTATCTATTATTATTTATTTTGATTTGATTTTAGAGGTTTCTGGAGAAATATGGCTATTTTGAGTCTGTGCACCAAGTACCGGACTTAGCAGGATTCCCAGATGCCATAAAGTAAGCCTGTGATTCCCATTCTTCTCTTACTGCTTTTAGTTGATGACTTCCATCTCCATTTAATATCTATCTAATCCCTAAATCCCATGCCTTCCCATGCAGTCTGTTGCTAGCTTAGACCATGCAGCTGGCCAGCTTTCATTGATGACGGGTTCTGCTCAGTGGTTTCCCTTGTATGGGCTTAGTTTCTTTTGTAGTATGACCAATGCAGCAGTTTTGACCCAGCTGGTAGATTCCTCAAATGCCAATGCTGCCTTCTGGATTCAATCCCACTATTCTCTCTGGGTTGCTTTCTTTCTTAAATCTTTTATTTTCTTTCCCTGCTACTAGCTTCAAATTTTGTATGAAGGGTAATAGTGGCAAATGCTTAAAAATGGTGTAATGGCCCACTGGTAAAGATGCTTGCCTCCCATTTGGATGGTTGAGAGTTCAATTCTAGGTAGCAACAGATGTTTCTCTCCTAGGACGCAAAGAAAAAATATCTGTTGTGAACTCTGCATAGGTGAAGGGTATCTGGCCAGCAAATGTCCAGTCGTGAGTCTATCCAAACAGGGACTACAGGGGAATTCCCCTATAAAAAGGGGAATTTGCATGTTTAAAAACAAGGACTAAATCAGTGTTTCCCAATGTATTTATTTAAAACATTTACATAGCCACCCATCTTTCAACCAACTCTGGATGTCTCCAAATCAATGCTGTCAACTTTAAGATGCGTAGACTTCAATTCCCAGAATTCCTCAGCCAGCCATGAAGTCTGCACATCTTCAAGTTGAGGTTGAGAAATACTGGCTTAAACGAAGGAGCAACTTCCATCCCACTTCCTGTGCTCTTACAGGGAATTTCAATGGATTTCTCACCTGCCCCTCAGTGGCACCCTGGATGCCATCACTCTCCATCACATGAGTCTCCCTCGCTGTGGTGTCAATGATGCAGAGAGCCACACGGCATGGAAGAAGCGCATGGATGCCCTGTTCTCACGAGGGAAAGCCCGGAAGAGTCGCAGGAAACGATACTTGCATCAGAGTAAGTCTGCTTGAGCTTGGAAATGTGTGTCCTTCTTCTGGACCAGGTTGTAATTTCCAACCATCATTTTAAAGTGGGGACTCAAAGACTCCAAGGAGATATCCAGCAGCCCTGTGGAGTCTCTGAGCATCTACTCTATGGCTAGTACAGATTTGGGCACAAGAGACCTTTGGAAATTCTTCACTCAATTTCTGGGAAGAATAATTGGATGGGTAATTTCTCCAAGTGAAGGTGACTTTCTCTGATGGGTCTTCTTGAACTCCTGAAGAAGTCCAGTGGAAAGAGTTCCTTCCTGAAGTCTTCTCTTGATGGTGAGTGGAAATGTCGGATGCCTGGGAAAGTTGCAGACCAAAGAAGAGTTGAGTGCAGCAATAGCAATAACAATAGCATTTAGATTTATATATCGCCCCGATGTGCTTTACAGCATTCTGTGGGCAGCCTAAAATGTAGAAACATTTGCATACTGCCCCCAACAATCTGGGTCCTCATTTTGCCGACCTCGAAAAGATGGAGGACTGAATTAACCTTGAGCTAGGGTCAAACTCCAGGCTGTGGGCAGAGTTTGCCTGCAATACTATACTTTAATCACTGCACTACATCAATGTAGAATGAGAGACGGTCATATGCGTGTGCATACCTTCATAAATAAAAGAGTTCTTGGCTGCATCCTAATTAAGTGTGCCACGCACTAGAAATTCTTTTCTTTAAGAAGAAAAGTTCTTTCATCAGTCTGCATAAAAATGAATCGAGGAAAATACAATTGATGTTCTTTATCCGCACTTAGAAAAGTATGGAGGCCAGTTTCCCAGGCACCACTGTAATTCAGGAAAGGCATCTGCAAAAGACCTGGTCACTTAGTCTTCCAAAGCACAGTCACTTGCAGAAAAGACCATTAGGAGGGATAGTTAGGACAACTTTCAGTTTCTTTTTCCTTTTTATTTATTCATTTATTTACTTACAAAAAAATACATAACTGCCCATCTTGCAACAAGTGACTCTGGGTGGGAATTTCAAGCTCTTTGCCTACTTACCAGCTTCGTTGGCTTAATAGCTTTTCTAGACAGCAGAAGTCAGAGAAGCTGAGAGAGCAGCTGTTTTGAAGACAAACCCCCAGGAAAGATTAGAGTGGAAGGATTAGGTAATTGCCTGTGCAGACTTCAAATTGGGCCTGACAAGGCTGCATCTGGGTAGGAGGCCAGAAACACCGGGTTGCCGAACCTCCACGGTTTTCAGTTTTCGTGGTTGTCTTCTCTTCACATGAAGCAGGCCTGTTCTTTGTCACAATTGCCTGGCCTTCTTCCCCTCCTGCATTTGCGCCTGAGGAGGATAGGGCCGTTGTTATGGGGAAAGTAGGAGGAGGAAAGAACATTAGGTATGTTTACTGCCTTGAGTTATTTATAAAAATAATAAAGATTAGATAAATACATTCTAAGCTAAGCTAAAAGAAGAAACTATGGTGTTTTTTCCCCCCCATCTGTGACCATGCCTGGGATCTTTGGGGGTAAGTCTGTCCTATTTCTACTGCATCAGTCTTGTCTCAAGTGAAATATATGCATCTCCCTCAATCTCTCTTCACAGGATTTAGCTTTCAGTCCTTCCATCATCCTCATTGCCTTCTCTTGCTTTTGCTCTAATGTGTGAGAAAGTGAAACCTTCGTAAAGTGTGGTAACACGAACCAGACCCTGTACTTATTCTGGGGTCAAACCAATGCAGAACAGAATGGGATGAAAGGTAGCCCTGGACTTGGGATCATTCATTTAGCAATCTTTCAAAGTTACAGTGGTGTGTGTGCGTGCGGGGCGGGGGGGTGGGGAAATCCAGTCCTCACACTTCCGACCGGTGCTTGCACTTACTACAGTCGCACTATCCCCTTAGTGACGTGATTGCAGTTTGGGTGCTTGGCAGTTGGCTCGCATTTACGACTGATTGCAGTGATCTTGCGTGCAATCACATCACTGCATTTGACTGCATGGTTTTGTTGAAAACTGGCATTTATTTCAGGTTTTCAGCAAAACTGGCCCATAGAAAACCATTGGTTCACTTAACAACCAGGGCATTTGCTTAATGACCACTGCAATAAAGGACATCAAATTGGGTCAGCCACATACGTGTCCCATATGAGTGTTGTGACTTAACAACCATTATGATCATAACTCAAGGATTACCTGTAAGCTCCCTTCAGTATGACAGAAGACAGGGCAGTAGGGCGAAGAAGAACCAGGTTTGATAGCAAACTACTGAATAATCAATTTTAAAAATGATGTATGAAGCTTTAGAAAGGTTTACAAACAAATGTTTGCAGTTGGAATTGGGCCTTGCTCCAAGCAAGGGGAAAAAAAAAACCCACAGTAGCTGCTTTTTGCCATGAAAACCAACACTGCAAGAAAACTTTGTCCCTCCGTAAATGATTTTTGCCTTCCTTCAAGGAACACACCTATAATTTGAGTCTGAGAACCCTGCGGCTCATTTTACAAGATTTGAATCATGGTTTTCCCCCCACCTTAAAAATTCTTAATTGCAGCTGTCATTTGTAGCCATCACTTTGTGGGGAAATAAACAGTTTGCACCCATCTCAAATGCAGGTGTGCTTCTTCAGGCCTGTTGAAACTGGGCCGTGTGTTTCACTCCTAGAAGATGAGCATCGGAAGTTAGGCTCTTATAAAATATTTGATTCTGTTATCAGTTGATGCCTGTTGGGCCAGACTTTTGTTATGGTTTTTAAAAATTTTTGCACTTGAGCCTCTGAAGATAGAAAGAATAGCTCTATTCACAAATTATAAATTCGTCAGTCTTATTTTAGCCTAACATTTTGTCTAGAAACAGTTGGTGAGATTCATTTGTGCTTCAATGAATTCTGTAGGCCTAGAAAACTGGAATAAAGTAAATCGGATTTAAATCAACCAAGCCTGAATTCCCACTCAACCTGATGGCCAAAATAATGCATTTCCTGCATTTGCACAATTCAAGCTTGGTTTCAAAACACACTAAGCCACAAATAAGCTATCATGCTTAGCCTTAATCACATTTAGCCTACTCTCGAATACGTATTTTCTTCCAAGTCAGGTTCAAAAGGTTTCATGTGAACACAGCCTAAAAGTGCCATGGAAAACACAATTGGTAGGTGCCTCAGAGCAAATCTGGCTGTCAGGTCTTGGACAGTGTCCAGCTTTGGCAAGTCTAGGTCCAGAATTAAACAGCAATGAATGCGAGGCAGCTGTGTATCAGAGGTGGTATTCAGCAGGTTCAGACCAGTTCTGGAGAATCGGTAGCGGAAATTTTGAGTAGTTCGGAATACCACTTCTGACTGGCCCTGCCCCATCTATTCTCTGCCTCCCGAGTCCCAGCTGATCAGCTGGGTCTTCTTTGGTTCCCCTGCACAGGAGAACAGAGCTGGAAAGCAGGTTAGTGGGGTGGGGTGGGAATGGAGATTTTACAGTATCCTTACCCTGCCATGCCCACCAAGCCACGCCCACAGAACCAGTAGTAAAAAAAAATTGAATCCTACCACTGCAGTGTGTATCCCAATTTACAGAGGGTGATCATCTGATAGAAGAGAATAATTGTAGCTCAAGATTGAACTATGGTATCCTTGGTACTCTCTGAGCTTGGTTGTTTTCTAGCAGACATTTCATCACCGACCTAAGCATAGTACATAAAATTATCTATTGCAATGTCCTACTCGTCAATGACTACTTCAGCTTCAACCACAACAATACAAGAGCACACAATAGATACAAACTCAAGGTAAACTGCACCAAACTTGATTGCAGGAAATACGACTTCAGCAACAGAGTGGTCAATGCCTGGAATACAGTACCTGACTCTTTGGTTTCTTCCTCAAACCCCCAAAACTTTAATCTTAGACTGTCTACTGTTGAACTCACCCCTTTCCTAAGAGGTCTGTAGGGAGCATGCATAAGCGCAACGATGTGCCTACCATCCATGTCCTAATGTTCTTTTTTATTCATATCCATTTCATGTATTCATAATCAAGTTTATACTTATACCTGTTATCTAATACTTGCCTGACAAATAAAATAAATAAACAAAACTAGACAATACCATCAAGGCTAGAAGGGAATTGAGTTTGCTCTCAAGTGGCTTGCCCTATAAGTGTTGGTGGAGTGTTGTTGGTGGATCCTTGCTTAGTCTGTTTATTATTAGCTTATTTTTCTGACTTGGTAGTTCCTTGATTGAGGTATTGTTTACTTCTTGTCTAACACTAACCTTGGTGTTAACCCTTGCTCATCTTGGTGGTGATTGCTGGTGAGATGTTTTGGTCTTTTCGTTTCCTTTTTGGCTTTTTTATTGTCTTTTTTGAATAGTATGTACAGGTGAAACTCAAAAAATTAGAACAACATGCAAAAGTTCATTTATTTCTGTAATGCAATTTAAAAGGTGAACCTAATATATGAGATAGACTCATTTCATGCAAAGCAAGATAGTTCAAGCGTGATTTGTCATAATTGAGATGATTATGGTTTACAGCTCATGAAAACCCCAAATCCACAATCTCAGAAAATTAGAACATTGTGAAAAGGTTCAATATTCTAGGCTCAAAGTGACTCACTCTAATCAGCTAATTAAGCCATAACACCTGCAAAGGGTTCCTGAGCCTTTAAATGGTCTCTCAGTCTGGTTCAGTAGGAATCACAATCATGGGAAAGACTGCTGACCTGACAGTTATGCAGAAAACCATCATTGACACCCTCCATAAGGAGGGAAAGCCTCAAAAGGTAAATGCAAAAGAAGTTGGATGTTCACAAAGTGCTATATCAAAGCACCTTAATAGAAAGTTATGTGGAAGTGTGGAAGAAAAAGGTGCACAAGCATCAGGGATGACTGCAGCCTGGAGAGGATTGTCAGGAAAAGGCCATTCAAAAGTGTTGGGGACTTTCACAAGGAGTGGACTGAGGCTGGAGTCAGTGCATCAAGAGCCAGCACACACAGATGGATCCTGGACATGGGCTTCAAATGTCGCATTCTTCTTGTCAAGCCGCTCCTGAACAACAAACAATGTCAGAAGCGTCTTACCTGGGCTAAAGAAAAACAGAACTGGTCTGTTGCTCAGTGGTCCAAAGTCCTCTTTTCTGATGAGAGCAACTTTTGGAAACCAAGGACCCAGAGTCTGGAGGAAGAATGGAGAGGCACACACTGCAAGATGCTTGAAGTCCAGTGTGAAGTTTCCACAGTCTGTGTTGATTTGGGGAGCCATGTTATCTGCTGGTGTTTGTCCACTGTGCTTCATTAAGTCCAGGGTCAACACAGCCATCTACCAGGAGATCTTGGAGCACTTCATGCTTCCTTCCGCAGATGAGCTTTATGGGGATGCTGACTTCATTTTCCAGCTGGACTTGGCACCTGCCCACACTGCCCGTACTGCCAAAAGCACCAAAACCTGGTTCAATGACCGTGGGATTACTGTGCTTGATTGGCCAGCAAACTCACCTGACCTGAACCCCATGGAGAATCTATAGGGCATTGCCAAGAGAATGAGACGTGAGACCGAACAATGCAGAAGAGCTGAAGGCCACTATTGAAGCATCCTGTTCTTCCATAACACCTCAGCAGTGCCACAGGCTGATAGCTTCCATGCCACACCGCGTTGAGGCAGTAATTGCTGCAAAAGCAGCCCAAACCAAGTACTGAGTACATATGCATGCTTATACTTTTCAGAGGTCCGATATTGTTCTATGTACAATCCTTGTTTTATTGATTGCATGTAATATTCTAATTTTCTGAGATTGTGGATTTGGGGTTTTCATAAGCTGTAAGCCATAATTTTTTCAATTATGTCAAATCACAGCTTGAACGATCTTGCTTTGCATGTAATGAGTCTATCTCATATATTTGTTTCACCTTTTAAGTTGCATTACTGAAATAAATGAACTTTTGCACGATATTCTAATTTTTCGAGTTTTACCTGTAGATGTTGTTTACCTCTATGTGCCTGTTGATGGCTGATTTGTCTGAGGGCCAGTCTTTCTCTGTGATGATCCTCTGTTTGAAAGCTTGTCAAAGTAGTCCTTTGACTGAGGGTATCCTTTAAGGGAAGTCTCACTGGAGCAAATCAAGTTCTTAAAATTAATTATAAGGAAGGAGAGTAGGAGCTTTGAAGTTGTCCATCTGTGGCAGAAGTGGGGAACTATGGCCCTTTTATGACTTGCTGGCTCAGGAATTCTGGAAGTCAAAGTTCACAAGT